GCATGGAGCTGGAGAAAAATATACATACAATCACATTATCACCATATACAAATGTCACATCATGTAATTGAAAGGCCACAAAAAATAACTTATACTTGTGCAAGGGCTACAATAAGTCAACTATCTTCGAGTGGAGTCGACATTGTTTTCCAAAAATTTCAGTACTTCTGCTGATCTTTAGGGGATCTCGAGATATTGTCATCACAATAGCATGAACATCTCTCCTGAAAAGTGCAGCGAGAATACTTGAACATTTTTTCATCTCCACATAAACGTGTAACTACAACAAGCAAGAATATTCGAAGTCACCTGCTGGGCAGGGACCGATAGCTTTTTTCATCTTAGTGATGTGAAAGAAGTTTTTGTTGACCGCCTGCTATGCAGGACATGAACTACTTTCTCCTTCACAGCACATGAAAGAAGATCACGTTGATCATCTGCTACGCATGACGGAAATGACTTTCGTCTACACTGCAATGCGAAAGAAGAACTCGTAATTTGCCTGCTACGTATGATGGAGACCACTTTCTTCTACACCACAACATGAAAGAATATCTCGTTGCTCGCTTGTTACATAGGACGAGGATGAATTTTTTCTGCATTACGGTGTGAAAGAAGAACCTGTTAATCATTTACTGCATATGTCAGAGATGACTTTCCTTTACACCTTCTTCAAGGAAGCAGATCATGTTGGTCGTTTACTATGCAGGACATGGATGACTTTCTTCTGCACAACAACACGAAAGAGGATTTCGTTGATCTCTTGCTACACAAGTAGGAGAAGACTTTTTTCCTCTGAAAAATCCTAGATCATCTGCTTGGCAAAGATGAGGACTCCACCTCCACCATATTCTTCTTGCTATTTGTAGGCGCAAAAAAACTATTCATATTTATGACAAAAATTAATTTCAATCATTTAAGAAAAATTGAAATATTGGGGCAGCAGCGCGGTATTTCTGGTCTCAAGTTCTGCAGGTTCACAAGAAAAAAAAAAATATATATATATATATATATATATATATAAAGAGTCACTATTTCCGTGCGTATTAATATGGCGCCAAACAGTAATGCATTCCTAATATATAAAATCATATAGCATAAGAAAGGATTTTGATTTAAAAATGTGACTCTCGAGACATATAAAGAGTCACCCATATATAAAGCTGATATGTCATACCACGTTGGTTTCATACATATTACATATAGCCTTTACGCCATATAAAGCCTTTATATATATATCTATACTCTATGATGCTCATATGCCATATAAATTACGTATATTAAATATATATTACATATGACCATATGTAATATCTATACATATGTAAAAACATGGTTCGGATTTCAATATTTTCGAACGTTAAAATTGATTCCGCCCAAAATAAGGGGGCAACTAACAAGCTATCAATAAATTTCTATCATTCAATGCTAATCTCGAGGCATGACATTGGTCTCAAGGAACCTTTTATATATAAAAAAAGTTCAAACGTCCATAAAAAGTCTTCATGAGCTTCAATTTCAGCAAATTTATAATCAAACTGTCTGACTTGATGAGACTGAGCTGATGATACCAAAATTGATCTAATTTAAGTCAAATCAAGCTCAAATCAAGTCATTAAACCACTTTTGAAAGCTTTCCAAGCTTATATGGAAGAGCAAACGAATGTCGAATCTGGTGGGCTCATGGTCGAATCGAGGATCTCGACAAGACAAATCTAAAGAGCTTAAGATTGCCCAATCCGACATTGTTAAGATTCTCATATGTACATCAAATGTCGTTTGATTGAGGGAACCTCTCTGGGTCATCTGATCAAAGTACTTCATATTCATTAATTAATTGTAACTAAGGACTTTATAAAGAGAGCCCACCCCTCTCATTAGAAGAGGAGGGAGCATGAAGCATGAAGATGAGATCAAAACTCAAAAGAGTTGAAGTCAAGCATCATCTTGGCCTCGATCGCTGCATACCACCATCGACAACTGCCTGCCACCGTTGACCGTGTTGAAGATCGCCGACCTCCGCCAACTATCTCTTGTCGATCGTCGCTGACTGCAGTCAACTGGCGTCGGGCACTGCCAATCGTCGTTGCCTACTGCCAACCACAATTGACCTCCGCTAGACACGATCGATCACCACTTATCGGTCATCATCGATCGTTACAATTGTTTGTCGTTCCTTGCAATAAGTTCATCTACACGTCAACTTTGTAACATGGAGCGTGTTCAACCCCGTTTTGCATGTGGGACGAAGGACTGCACTTGTAATCTTCAGTTTATAGTGAATTTCTTCAGCTAGGCCAGACACCGTGGTTTTTTTCCTTTTTGGGTTTTCCATGTAAAAATTTGTGGCGTCTCTACTAGTCTTTCATTTGAGTGCATGTTGAATTTTTGTGCAACTCTAAGACGATAGTCCATTACTCTACTGCCACAAATTTTTTAGCACACATCAAATTTCATAAATTACAAGTTTTCTAAAATTCTTAGAGAAAAAAGTCTCAGAAAATACAAGGACTCCAAAATCCCCAAAAGCCAAAAGTCTTGGAGGCTACAAATTTTCTAAAAACCTAAAAAGATAAAAGCATTGGAATGCCTTTTTTTTATCTCTAAAGATAAAAAACACAAAACATGCACAGTTTATTAAAATTTCAAAAAATCTACTTTAGAAGGCTTGTAGAAGACTAAGATTATTGGAATTGCTTATTTCAAAATCTTAGAAGGTATAAGCTTAAAAAAATATTTTCTCGCATTAGTGTTCGCTAAAAAAAAACACCCAAACCCGACACTTAGAGAAATTAGGATTTTGTTCCTCATGAGATAGATTAAATTTGATTTAAAAAGAAATTTCCTAACATTTATATCAGGATCTAACTTTCTATGAGAGCAAGCTCTCATAGTTAATTATCTCCCCCACTCACGGGAAAGCACTCTCGATTAAGGATTGTTAGACTAGAATAAGTTTTTAAGCCTTAAAGTTAATAAAAGTTTTTCATCAAGTTAAATGGGGAATATTTATGGGGAATGGAGGTAGACCCAATTTTGATCCTATGGTTCCATTGTCTTATTTTACCAGGGGTCTCAGTCTAACGTCAAAGGAATCTGATTAACAATCATGGGATATTCAAATGAGTCATGATACCAATGGAATAGCTTGCATTATAATACCTTTGCTATTCTCTAATATTTCCATAGTATGTTTGCTGCATTCATCACTGTTAGTTGTGCTTCATATATCTCAATCAGTAATTAAAATGGATTGTTTTAGCACATGGAGCAAATAGAAGAGGCACTCCGTGTGTTTATATGTGCACTAGCTGGCTAAATATGATTAGCCTCCGAGTCCCATGCAAATCCCAATCCTCAAATTCTTTCTTGTGTTTTTCTGTAAATGCAGCCACCGCAATTTGATCTTTCTCAAATGTCTTTATGCCAATCACTGTCTTATGAATGAACTACACCAAATTTTGATGAGATGAAGTCTCACCTTGGAATAAATTCGCCGAAAGAAGTTGGCCAACTTACCTTAAGAGAAGACCAATGCCACACTGATATGTCCATTTTGTCTGGATATCCGCACGTCTGAACGGCCAAATATCGGGCGCCGCCGACGAGTATGGCTACATGGTGCCCGATAGTTGGTCATCCAGACGTGCAATATCCAGACGTAAAGTTTTCTCCCTATTCAGGTAGCCTCAATAATTCTTTTTAGTTTGCCCGAACAGCCGTTCCTGATTGTATTGAACGGGCTAATCCAAATCAACTTTTTAGTCAATTTTATTTCTAAATAAAATTGATAAAATTTTTTCTATAAAACACAAATTTATAAATTATATGAACTTAACTTATAATTATGGATTTAAAAAATTAAATCTGATTAATAATTAAACTAATTAATAGCATGCCCAACAACTAGGTGACTTAAGAGCTCAAACATAAAAAAAAAAAATTCCCATATAAACATTGTAATGCTAACTCTCCATTAAGACATGAGACTAGAAAATCTAAGCTGAAAATTTTGTAGAGCTGAAAAAAAATAAAAAAAATTAGGTCGTCGAGTTTAGGTTTTGAAAATATTAAATTGGTTGTGGGATGTGAATATTATAATGACATTTTAATTTTTATGTATTTATATATCTAAAACCTAAACATTTATATTTACAAACATAATACTCAAATCTCTGATATCACATAAAAAATATCCAATATCATCATCTTTTTAAAAACAAAATACAATTTTTCATGCATACATTTATGACACAAAATTATTGTAAGGGTAAATATTAAACTTGGGATGTTAGATATTTAAATATATAAGAATTATGTGGTATGTATGTCAATTTTCCCCTTTTTTTTAATATATATATATATATATATATATATTAATAAATTGTATGTCAAATTTTAAATTTATAATTATTAAATGTCATGTGTTTAAATTATGTTAATATTTTATCACATTTATCACATTTACATTATTGTATCCTTTCATTTATATTAAAATAATTTCAGTATTAATTATATCATCTAATTAAATCTAAATTAAACCATTGATCCTTAAACCACTTCTAAATAAAATTCAGTTCAACTTTCACAACATTAATTGTAGGGACTAAAATTCTCTCATACCTTAAACCTATTCCATCAATTTTAGAGAATACTATATTGGAATGTTTTTCCAAACGCAAAGGCTCAGAATTGTAGGGTTAAGTGAATTGTTTTATCAGGAGTGTTAGGATCATCATATATGAATAACATCCTAACACTCTTGATGAACCTGCTCTATAAATCTCAACAAATATAACCTGAAAATTTCACTTACCCTAAAACTCTCAGCTTTTACAGTTGAAAAAACAAGAAAGAGAAGAAAGAAAAAAACAGAATCCTGGTAGCAAATACATAACATGGCTGGAATCAAGTAAAGCATAACCAACAGAATCAATAAAATCAAAAGTAGGGATTCCAAGCCAAAATTAACACAAAAAGTTTAGAAAACTAGAACCTGGAAATACAAAATGAAGCACCCACTTCCCATCAAAATGTTATTCAAGGGGTATTCTATCTACAACATAGTAGTTTGACCTGTAGACAAAGCAGCAAAAGCTAACTGTAAGCTCAAAAAGGGAGCAGGTGCGTGTAAATTTCAATAAATTTTTATACAAAGATTTGTGAATTTTGATTTTGCAAAAGTCAAATATCAAAGCATGGCATGGCAAACTGCATGGCAAAGGCTTCTACTTGGTTGCGTAACTCCATAATTTCCTTGTTGGTCTTGAGACCCTTGAAAAACTCGTTCTGCGCTTTCCCGAGTTCCCTTTGTAGAGTGCTTGCGATACACGCGGCTCTAATTAGAAATTCAGAAATAATCTCAAAGTCTTCTTCCAAGCAGCCCCTTGTAGTCATTGCAGGAGAACCTGAAGTTGAGAGGCATCAAGAGATCAGGTTTTAAAAACAATAGAATATTTACATACATACCGCACATGTACTATGTATTTACATATCTAACACCTAAGCTTTGATTTTTTAAATTTATGCCATTGTACCGATATTTTGAAAAGGTGGTATTTGTGATGTGAAAAGAAAAAATTTGAGTGTTATAAATAAAAGAATGAAATCTTGATCATTAGATATGTAAATGAATAAAGATGATGTGCTATGTATGTAAATGCCCAAAATTGTTTTGGGGCACATTATTTGAGGAAAAAAAAAACATTGCAGAAACTAATACCTATTCTGACTCCTGCAGAACAATCACCAAAAATAGGAGTTTTGTTCAGGCTGATATGGCATGCCTCACATACTTTCTCAAAAGTTTTGCCTGCACAAAATCAAACTTGGTCAAGAAATGCCTCGAGTTTTAATAACTACATTTTTAAATAGTTTATGGTCATAAAAACATGAATAAAACTAATAAATGAGCATAATATAGTAAATGATGTCCAAGGATATTAGGGGGGCTCATCAATTAAATCAAACTTTGTGGTTGTTTGGTAGAGAATCAAACTTAAATCAAGAAAAAAAAAAGAGATAAAAATTTCTGATAGTTATTACAAAGCTTGAGGTGTAGCGTCAAAGGTAAGGCGTACTTGTTCTTTCAGACATAATCATTGATTTACTTTATGCACAGAGGGGACAAATTTTCATTTATCAAAACTCCCAAAATAGTTTTTCTTTTCAAACTTGTCTTAAATTCTCAAAATATCTAAGGTATCAATATGTTCTAACTGAAATCACAGTGAATAAATCTATCTTTTAATTTCTGTCCCACCTTAGAACAGAATGTATTGCTTGCAGAAGGCAAAAAATCTTTCACTTATTACAGATAGAAGCCCTTCCTAAGAAAATTTTATAACTTCATCACAAATACAAAAGATTTAAAGTTCAGATCAATAATTTGAAATAATAAATAACACAGTTGCATCATTAGCATCATCATTATCTGCATCTGTCGATTTTGTTTGAGCTTTTGTATCTTTCTTCACCTTAGTTCCCATAAATTGTAGTGTTTTGCTATTAGCAATAGTCTATCTAGTTGTTCTATCCATTTATAGTAATGACTTCGGTGACCTTTATTGTTAGACTTCACGTTTTTGTAAATTTTAATCTTTTTATATATCCAAACAATGCAGTTTATCATTCTCTTTACTGATGCACCTTTTGCTCTTATCATCATCAGAATCATCATTGTGACTTGGAACCAATTACTTTGGTTCATTTTTTGTGATTCCAAATTTATAAGGAATTGCTAATTATAAGTGAATCACACATAAAAGTCGATGTTTCGGAGTAGTGGAGCATAACATTGGATGATCACATTGGTGCAGGAAAAAACACCGGAGCATCTACTGTGGATACAGTGTTGAGCGAGTCCATTTCTGTGATGTTGTGACGTACAATGGTTATGCAGAAGGCGGATTATGAGGACTAAAAACAGATAGAAACTGGGAGAAGAATAATATCCAGTACTTAAAAGGAAGATTATTTACATGCACACCTCATAATTTTTAGTTATTTACAATCTAAGACCTAAGCCTCAAATTCTGCATACATGCATATCACCTTAACTATGCATGAAAAAGTGTCTTTCACTTCTTGAAAGTTAAAATGGTAATATTTTTTATATGATATAAAAGATTTGGGTATAAATGTAAGTAGAATTTACGTATTAGATATGTAAGTGCATAAAAAATTGGTGGAATGTATGTAAATGCACCACTTAAAAATGTTGGCAGAGGGCCTGAATAAACTTAGGCCATTAACGTTACACAACTTTTGAAAAAGTACAAAACCAAACACCGTAGATTAGATGGGCGTATTTCGTGAAAGAGAACAAGGTGAGCATAATTGGGAGTTCTTTAGGCAACAAGGTGAGGACAGACAGACACACACAAATCAAATATTCTATGGAGCAAATTAAGCGTACTTCTACATAACCTCAGGACAAATGTACCCCTACAGGTTTCACAAAATCAACATACATGTCACTACGTGTCATAATTCCCCCTTGAATCCCAATGAAACCCAAATCTTGCATGCCCTTGCTCATTAGGTTTATCCATAAGGGTCTGTTTGGGGCAGTTGCAACTATTTGAAGAAACAACTGTAAAGCTGTTGAAAAAGAAACAGCTGTTCAAAATGATATAGTGGCTATTGCAAAAAAAAATATTTTTTGAAAAAATTAGGGCCGCAGCTTTCTAGTAACCACCGCAGGTAACCAGATTTGGTGGGAAAACAGAAATTTCAGCTGCAGTTTTTTTGTGAACGATGACAAAATACAGTTTTGCCAAAAAAGAAAAACTACAGTTTGACACCCCGCCCCGCACCACACCACCCCGCACCCTAAATATATCCAATACTTCTCAAAAAACTATCACATACATCTTTAATAACTTCAATCTTTGAAACAAAGCTTTTCCTTAATGCCCAGCAATTTTTTTCTCATGGTACTTAATCATATGCTTTAAACATAAATAAAAATCATGTGAAAAGACTTTGTTTTTACTTTACGTTCTTTTTCATTAATTATCATAGCATAAACACTGTCTCCACAATGGATGTTCCGGTGCTTTTCCTGCACCAATGTGATCATCAAATGTAATGTTCCACTACTCCAAATCCTCGAGTTTTACTTCTGATTCACTTATAATTACCAAATCCTTATAAATTAGGAATCACAAAGAATGAACCAAAGTAATTGGGTCAAGTCACAATGACGATACTAATGATGACAAGAGCAAAAGGTGCATCAATAAAGAGAAAGATAAATTGCATTGTTTAGGTACATAAAAAGATTAATATTTATAAAAAAAGTTTAGTCTAACAATAAAGGTCACCAAATTCATGACTATAAATGGACAGAACAACTAGATAGACTATTGCTAATATCAAAACACTACAATTTATGGGAACTAAGGCGAAGAAAGATACAAAAGCTAAAACAAAATCGACAGATGCAGATAACAATGATGCTAATGATGCAAATGTGCTATTTATTATTTCAAATTATTGGTCTGAACTTTAAATCTTTCGTATTTTTTTGATTAAGCGCAACTAAAAAGTTTCTTCAAATGTTTTTTAGAATTGTTAATTCACAAAACTAAAAAATATTAAGACTCATTCAAAAACTATAGCTGAGTTTGATAACAAGTCATCTTTCATATTTCCAAATTGTTTACAAATTTAGAACAAAGAATTTGAGATCTGATATCTCCCCGTACTTAAGAATTCTAACTAGGATAAGATGAGCCCATAATATATTAGCAAGTATGAACTGACCATTGTATGACGCTATTCAAGGAGATTTAGAAACTTGATCATCCATGTTAAAAGAGGGAGTAATCTTTGCAAACAAATACCTCCGTTATGAATAATCCAAGAAAAAAAAACAAAAGACAAATTTACATACAAGAACATGGTAACTGTGAGAAACCTGCACGCTAAATCTAAAAGAGCGATGGCAGAAAAAGGTACAAACAAACCTAAAACTTATGCAAAAAAAAAAAAGTTAGTATTTGGGAAATGAATCCAAAACAAAACTACCTAAATCAACTGAAAAATTATACTAATCTTTTAATTCTACGATGCAACTGTAAAAAAAAAAACAATTTTGAAGTCTAAAGAAATCTGAGAAGTCCGACATAAATTGATATCAAAACATCAACTAAAATCATTTAAAGAAAGATGAAAATATGAAGAAATTAAAAAAATAATTACCTGTCAGACCATAGGTTCTTAGATCCCAAAGTAACATATGGTTATCAGTGCCACCAGTAACCAATCTGCATTTCCGTCTCAATAAAGCAGCTGCTAATGCCTGTATATTTTTCTTGACTTGCTGGATATATGCTTTATACTCGGGAGAAGCCACCTGCTTCAAAGCAATGGCCAATGCAGCAATATGGTTATTATGAGGCCCTCCTTGCATTGATGGAAACACGGCAAAGTTTATTTTATCCTCAAAATCATATTGATCGATTTTCCTAGGCTTTTTCCCTTTCCTAATAAATATCATACCACCCCTCGGTCCGCGGAGACTTTTGTGTGTCGTTGAAGTGACAATATCACAATAATCAAATGGGCTAAGACATTCCTGCAAAAAACAACAAAAATCAAAGTTATATACTGTATTAAGTTAATATTCATCAACAGGATAGTTTCTAAAATCATTTTGAAGGTGATAACCATGCACAATGTGAAGGAACCAAATTAATATATACTAAAGCTTATCATTTTAATCTCCAATACGTAATAAGTTACGTATCGGAGATTAAAAGAGAATACACCAAAAAAGGTTAATAAATCAAGGACATCACCTAAATTCACACGATTAGAGAGGGAAAAAATATGCAGGAAAAAGTTAGATGGCAGGAAATAACAAAAAAAAAAAAAACCCATAGTATTGCAGTATACACTCCTGTAGAGTTAGATGGCAGGAAATAACGGAAATAACAAAAAAAAAAAAAACCCATAGTATTGCAGTATACACTCCTGTAGTTTCTTCTTGTACGACAATATCACATATTTATACACACACACACACACACACACAAAAAGAAGCTTACACTTGTGCCAATAGAGTTAAGGAAAAAAAATTCATACGAGGAATGAAATCAAATATAGAGGTAAATTCCAAACTCCAAACTTCTCATGCAATGACTGATCTGCTCATAGTTCCACAAGAAAACAAATAAGGATTTAAAACTAGTTCCTAATAAAACATAAAGTTACCAAATATGAAAGAATGGAAAATGAGGTCACATGACTTAGGGATTGAGAAACCAGAATGGGCCATAGTTGAGGCTAATACATCAACAGACAAACCCATGTTCAAAAGAAAAGCTTAACCTTAGGGCGGCGAGCCTAAACCATCCAATATTTCTACACCGACATATTTTTTGATTGTTTGATATAACTATAAACCGAATTCTCCCATGTGCCTTAAGAATCTCCCCCTCACATAAAAGCTCCTAAGATTAAAAAAAACTCACCCTCTAATAATGAAAGCTTACAAAATAACACACTCCAAGAGCCCACATAACTATGTGGAGACATTGCGAGAGTCACCTTATTTTGAAACTTGCTCAACCTTGGTGGAAGGATTGCAAAGTCCAATGGGAATCATAAACAAGATGAACCACTTAATCTTAGCTAAACCATCTACTTAGATACCAATTGATAGACGGTGATAAATGAACGGGGGAAAAAATTAGGTCTGATACAACAATGAATAAACTCACATTCAAATTAGAATCTTAAGCCTATGAGTGAATGCTAACCACTTGGTGTTTCTTTGACAACATATAATTAAAATATCATAACTTGAACAAAACCTAATACTCTCATGAGAGTCAGCAATAAAGACAACCTCAAAGAGTTGTGATGATGCTCAACCATGACTTGTCATGGGCTTTAGCCACACAAATATAGATGATGTTCAACTCAAAAGTTCTCTACAGACATTTCCAAGCGACAGAATAGAAGGAAGTTCATAACTCCATCCAGCTACAATACACAGGAAATTCACCTAATTGTTCAGGAAAAGAAACCATACCTTGGCTGCAACAAGCCCGCTGATTTGAGCCATGTCACACATTAGTACAGCGCCACATTTATCAGCAATCTGCCTAAACCTTGCATAGTCCCACTCCCTTGGGTATGAGCTACCCCCACAAATCAATATCTTTGGATGAAAATCCATTGCCTTCTCCTCAACCTTGTCATAATCAATATATCCTGTGAGCGCATTAACCTTATAGGAAAGGCTTTCGAAGAATATTGAAGCCCCTGATATCCTCTTCCCACCTGGCGTCAAGTACCCATGGCTCACATGCCCGCCTGAGAGAGAATCCAGTCCCATAATCCTATCCTTCGGCTGCAAAAGCCCCGTGTAAACAGCAAAGTTTGCAGATGTACAAGAATAAGGCTGAACATTCACGGCCCAGCTTTCCGCATCAAGATCAAACGCAGCCAATGCTCTTTCGCAGCAAAGACGCTCAATCTGATCAATATATTGATTACCACCATAGTACCTAGCACCCGGCATCCCCTCCGAGTACTTATTCGTCAGATGGCTCCCTAGGGCATCAAGGACGGCCTGGCAAACAAAATTCTCAGAGGCAATTAGCTCAATCCCCCTGGTCTGTCTCTGTCTCTCGTTCTCCATAATCTCATGCACAGCGGGATCGGCCACGGACAAGGTTTGGTTCCCCCAAGAACGCACTACAGTCCTACGCTTATCGAGATCCGGCTCCACTGAAGCTCTCTTTGAAGGATGCAAAGCAGAAGATGATGAGCATGAAGACAGGGAATCACCCCTTCGTTGCCGCTTGAGGCTCATCGGGTATCCAAGGATACTGAATTCCTCCTCCCTCTGCCCGTCCACGGAATCTTCTCCGTCCTCGATCCCGCCGGAGCCGTTCCAACGATTCTCCGACTGCTGGTCAAGCAGTTGCAGCGGAATCGGTCGAAGACTCGCATCAGTTTGAAGTGATGAGACATCGTCGGCAATCGGTAAGCGGTGCTCATGAAACCCTAGCGACAAATTGGATTGAGATTGGGAGAGATCCATACCACGATAACTTGTAAAAACCAACCAAGACCTAAAACTACAAATTGGCGATCTAAGAGCAGCAGCGACAGCTACAAAAACATCGGAAACAGCGGAAGCAGCGGACACGGAGAAACCGGGTGGGGCGAGAAAGCGTACGGCGTGAAGCCTCCATGAACGGTAAGGGAAGAAGGTTGAAGTTGAACGCTGACGAAAATCCCTTTGGCTCGTCGACGAGATGGGGTTTATTTATGGGAGCGAGGATGCACCTAGACGGATTTCGGGATTGGAATGCGACCGGATCGCGTCTTCACATCGACCGGGACGATACCGATTGGCACACGATTAATCCGATCTAAGAAAGTTGCACGTGCGATGTGTCTCCTCCGTAGGATCGTTTGGTCCGATAAGGGTAATACCGCATGTACGTCCTCTTTCAGCCACTAAGCTAGGATTAGCCGACATTCATGTTGTAACTAGTTGAATCCGAAATGTCCTAGGAAGTGGTTAGAATATGAGAGAGAGAGAGAGAGAGAGAGAAATAGGAAATGCGTAGTCTTATTTCATGACATGGACCCCCAATTTATAGTAATTTGCCATAATTATTATTAAAATTATAACTCAGCCCCCTCATTATTAGGTTTGAAAGGGAGACTTAGTTATTACAAGAACGTTAGAGTATAATAAGGTTGGCAAATATATTCGGTCGATAAGAAGTCTGTCGATCGCTAGCTTTATCTTAACTCCATTTATACACGATTCGGGATTGAGTAACTCGTCGATCGGCTTTGAAGTCGATCGTCGTTCTATAGGAAATTCTTTGTCGCATTCTTCCAATTACCCGACCTCAACGTCTTCTAGTTAGCCTCCAATCTTTCGGTCGTCAACAAGTTGTTCAATTGATTGCTCTTCGCTCCAGAACCATTCGTTTGTCTTGAGATTTGCGTCGACATATTTTTCAAATACATATTTAGTTCCTGATTATATTGATTATCGAAAGCTGCATGTATAAAAGAATCTTTTTAACATGTAGGAAATAATTAAATGATATTATTGCATAATAATGGACGTCCCTAGATTTTCGTTCCGAATCCTTTATAAATAGGTCTTGGGGTAAAGAAGATTTATGTATTTTCTTTATCTTCTCGTTTCTTTAGTGTTCCATCTCTTCTTTTTCGTGTCTGTCGCGATGTCTAGTGAAGGAGCAGCATCAGTTGACAAGAGCGCACTCCTAAAGGCCATAAGTGATATGCAAGCGAAGACTCGCAAACTCGATGCGAAGCGGAAACCAACAAGTGAGGCCTCCATGAGAGAGTTAAGCAAGAAGAGAATTGTGCAGGGGTCGTGAGTGAGGGAACACGACGATCAAATTGAGTTCCGGTTTTCTAGCAGGCACTTCATAGGGGAGAGTCGTGAAGGAGGTTGGAGGGCGTACCGACGATCGTCTTTCGGGACACCCATTGGAAGCGATCACTCTTGCCCAAAGGGGAGGAATGTTCGTTCAGACTGTTGCAGGAAGTATGACTCCACAAGTGCTCGGGAAGGCACCGCCTGAAGCGAGGACTCGCTTCAGTCGCAAAAGGGTGGCATTTCCTCCGAGGGTGGACTAGAGGAGACCGTTGAGAACATCGTCTCTTACACCACTTATGAATGGTCTCGAGTTTTGGGTATGTAGTTTGAATCATGCTTACAATATTCCTTTTGCAGTTGCAGAAGCTTTGACGATCACTTTCACTTCCTTGGACATTGACATCAACCTTGAGGGTGATGTGTCCCCTATGGAACAGGCCATGGAGAGGGGAAGCGATCATATTATGGGGTTAGTTCAAGCAATTTGACATGGATAGCGAAACTATATTACTTCTTTTTTGCTAGACATCTTTTCTAGAGAAGCAAAAGAGTCGAATTGAACTCAAGCTAGCCTCAGCTTGAGCTTAAAATTAGTTAATTAATTGAGTTCAAGCTAGGGTTGTGAGTTTAGCTCAAAGATCATTAATTGCTTGAAAATTGAGTCAAATTTTAGCTTGGATCAAGGCCAAATCGAAATAAACAAGTCGAACTACAAAATCTTGGATCAAATTTTTCTTAGCCAATTTTGAGCAGACCCTAGCTCGGCTCGAAATCATATCATTAACAGTCCTATTCATGTTAGAGCTATGAATTTAACAAATTTAGCTAGAAGATCGTTAATCACTCAAAAATTGATTCGAGTTTTGACTCAAATATTGATCATATCGAAATAAATGAGCCGAGATACGAGCCAAAATATTGGATCGAATTTTTTTCGATCAAATTTGAAGCCAACCCAGCTTGGCTCGAAATCAGATCCAGCCTTGATTCAAAAGCTCAAGCTTAAACTTAATTCTATGAGTTAAAGTCGGCTCAAGAAGCAACTTTTTTATTAAGGAAGAGAGTGAATGATATTAATTCAAGTTACAACAACAACAAGTTGTCATCTCATGTGCTCTATTTAGTGTCATATTTTCATTTAATTCAAAAAAATTAAGAACATTTTTATACAACATGACATTTTTTTTAGGTCTTCCTCTACCTTTCTTAAATTAACTTGAATCTAAAACATCCACTCTCCTAAACAGATTATCAGATGGTCAATGTTCAATGTGACCAAACCATCTAAGACGACTCTCTCTAATCTTGTCTATCTCTGGAGCTAACCCAATCCTTTCACAAATGCATTCATTTTGGATTTTTTCTCTATGTGTCAAGCCACTCATCCACCTAAGAATTCTAATCTCAGCAACACTTAACTTAATTTTATGCTTCTCTTTTATATGTCGACATTATCTGTTATAAACTATTGCAAGTCTCACCATGATCTCATAAAATTATTCATTAAGTCTAAGCGGTACTTTTCTATCACACAATAGACTCAATGCATTCCTCCACTTATGTCATCCAACATGAATTTTACTAATAACATCCCCATCTATATCACCATCACTTTTGAAAAATAAACCAGAGATATCTAAATGTTCGCTCACTTTAATGATTTTATCGCACATTGTAACAATTCTACCTCTAGATCTACTACTGAAACTTCATTCAATGTATTCAGTTTTAGATCTACTCAAACTGAGGCCTTTATTCTCTAATGTAGACCTCCTTCAATTTTTTTCCTGAACTCTTTATCTCTAGTCTTATCCACAAGAAGGATATCATCAACAAAAAGCATACACCGAAGCAAATCCACCTGTAAATGTCCAATAAGAACATCCATAACTAAAGCAAAATGATATGGTCTTAAAGTTGATCCCTGATGTAATCTAAATGAATAAGAAAAATACTTGGTCAATCCTCCTACTGCTCGAACAAAAGTAACAACTCTAGTATACATACATTTAATGACTTGAATGTAAGTCATATCAACACCTTTCATTTCTAAGACGCTCCAAAGAACTTCTCTTGGAACCTTATCCTAATCTTTTTCTAAATCATTAAAAATCATTTGTAGATCCTCCTTACTCTCTGTGTACTTCTCCATCAAACCTCTCAATAAATACATAGCATCCATAGTAGACTTGTCCGACATAAATTCAAATTGATTATAAGAAATATTTGTTTCACCTCTTAACCTATGTTCAATTACTCTCCCATAATTTTAAAGTATGACATATTTACTTAATCCCTTTAGAATTTGCACACTTTTGTGCATCCCCTTTATTCTTAAAAATAGGGACCAAAATACTCTTTCACCACTCAATCATTTTTTAGTTTTTAAAATAATATTAAAAAGCTTAGTAAACCAAGAAACACCCAAGTCTTCTAAATATTTTCACACTTCTATTAGAATGCCATCGACCCTATTCATTTTCCAGCCTTAGTTTTCTTTTAAGTCTCCTCAACTTCATTTTTACTAATGTGATGGTAAAAATAAAAGTTTTGTAATTATTAACGATATTAAGATCACTAAAGATGATTGTAATTTAAAAAACTTCATTTAAAATTTTATCAAAATATCTCGCCTACTTCTGTTGAATATTTTTCTCTAAGAAAATCACATTTTGATTTTCATTTTTAATACACTTTACTTGAATTAAAGATTTACCTTTCTTTTCTCTTTATTTGTCTAGTTTATACATACATCTTTCATCATCTTTAGTATCTAATCTATTATAAGAAAATAAAAAAAATATTATAAGGATTACTAAATGCAGAATTCTTTGCATCATAAATTGTTTTCTTAGACTCCCTGCAGATCATCTTATGTATTTCTTAGTTTTCTAAGCTTTTACATTTAAACTATTTTTTATAACAAATTTCTTATATTTTATCTTTTTTTTGTGCATTATTATTCAGGCATAAACTATTTTTATTTATAAAAATTTTTCCTTTTAATTCCGTAAAAACATCTTTTATCACTTGTTTAATAATGTTTGTTACTTTATCTCACATAAAATTAATTTCTTTATGAACATCTCAAATCTTGAAATCTTGAAATTTACTCATAAAAATAAATTTAGTTATCTTTTAAGTACCCCATATAATTCCATGAAAATGTTTCATTATATTTTTATCTTACAACTCCTCGTCTAAAAATACATAATAAATAATCAATTCGGAGTATTTAAATTTTTACTTGGAATGACATTACATTCTTTACATTCTCAAACATTTATTTTTCTCATAAAAATAACCAATTTGTGTTTTATTAAATTCATTTTTATGGGTAATAACATGCTCGTCTCTTTTATTAAGTAAAAAGCATTATCAATACCAAAATCATAAACTAAAACAAAATCTAATATTATTCTATCTTCTGCATTAATTACTCTAAAACTGTAACGACTATGAATATTTTTAAAATTGTTATCCACTTTACTAACATGTCCATTTAAATCTCATTCAATAAAATTTCTTTCTTCAAGAGGTATCACTAATATTAATTTTTTTCCGTATTTCCAAATTTTTTCTTTTAAACATATACCTAAACCTATTGGAGAAGCATAAACATTTATCTACTGATTTCATTAATTTACATGTGAGAGTACATATATTCTAAGATACTATCTTCATATTAGTTTCATAGATTAACTTTTTTGCTCACACCAATCCACAATGTTGAAACTCTTGCTTATTTAACACCACTATTGTACACTTTTCACTGTATTCAGACTACACAATGTATCACTTCTAGTAACGCTCTTGCATTTACACAAAGATTTAAATGATTCATATCATGATTTTTTAATAAAAATTTTACGCCAATTGTCCAGTAACACAATCCTTCACTTTTCCTATCTAGGGCTCAAAACCCGATTATAGTAATGTTATAATAAAATGACAAAGAATGAACAATTAAAGAAATAATACGAAATTATTTGAGATAAAATATAAAAATATCATTTTTTAAATATTTTTAATAATTGAAAGATAAAATTTTAAATTTTAATATATTTTAACTATATTTTATATTTATCATTTGTTAAACGAGCCAACTAGTAGGCTAACTAATTGAATAAAAAATAGTTCGAACTCAACTTGTTAGCTCATCGAGCTCTCTTCATCTGAGCCCACCTAAATTACACAACTAATCCTTCTCATACTCTAAGAAAACAACAAACCAAAATAGATTAAACATAAACTCGATGCCTTTATTGAAAGCATTCTTGGATTTACTCATGTAATCAACAATTAGAACAATGTTACTCTGCCAGACCAAAATGTTATAAATAAATAAATATTACACATTACAACTTATATAAAAAAACTTTATAAACTATTCTGTTTATATAGGTTGGATGCATCTTACATTGAGATCTTTCTGGCGATCCAAAAGTTTCATACAAAACACCTACAATCATCACAAATAATGTGAGTCAGTTCAATCATAAAAAGACCAATATGACCATGCAAAGCACATAAACTATGTTTGAAGTTTTCTTCGTCAGGAAACCTCAAAACCAATGTGCAGAGTATGATCCTGCTTGAAAAGACATGTTGTGTAGAAATATTATTTTGAAGTTATTTGATCTGATATAAAGAAAGGAGTTTATAAATGTGTTCAGATTACAGAAAAATGAGATCAGTACAAGGCACGGTAGACGACACGGGGTGCCAGAAATTGCCCAAATCTTATTTGGAATACACCTGCCATAAACCACAAAGCAAGTTTCGAACTCACCAAAGTTTAATACTACTTGTCATTATCATCCAACCAAAAACAAAGTTTAAGTTTGAAAACTCTTGCATTCCATTTACATGGTCATAAATCCAGCTAATGAAATAGCCGGCAATAAAAATTAAGGCTTTGTTTGGGACTACTTTACCTTTTGTAAAGGTTCATTTAAAGGTAAAATTAAAAGAAAGAACGATACAAAAGAGGACTTTCTAAAACCAAGCATTATGCCTGCCTTCTGTCAAACACAACGGAGTCGGAAAGCCTATCCAAAGAAAAAATAGTACATCCGTACTCGGATTCGGATGCATCTGGAGTCCAATGGTGGGGAGCCAGGTGTCAAGTAGGCCCCACCGCTTTTAACATTGGCCAATGCCAGTGTATTGCGGTGGGGCCCACTTGACAAGTGGTGCCCCATCATTAGACTCTGGATGCAAATTGTGTTTGAAGTCCGGATGCAATATTTTCTCCTATCCAAATAAAGCTTTAGATAGTTGGACACACGGAGGGAGCAAGGAAGTTCAACCCCAAATCGGTCTAGCACATTCATTATTAAAGCTATTAGAAAAACCAACATCCTACAAGATGCAAGGCAGTCCAAGGCCACAAACCACGAAAGATTTGGGTTGCCTCCAACCTGAGGTTATGCTACGTTATAAAGGAACATTTTTCAAAGTCTTGGGTTTGTTTACTAAAACCCTGAGTTTCTTTTGTAAGAGAAACTCTTGGTGATTGATCTACCAGCTCAAGAAAGCCCTTACCCTGAGCACAAATATCAATAATGGCAACATTTAAAAAAAATCAGTACTTGCAGTAACCTCCTCGCTCCTATTAACAAGATCAATCACGGTGTATATACAACCAATTGAGCCATATGTGTCTCCATGAGGGTGATTGAACTCAATGATTATCTTATAAAAGGCGTTGATACCAAAGTTAACACAAATAACAATAGAAAGTATAAATGTTATTTTTGAAAGCACAATGAAGATTACAACCAAATACATTGAAATGGGAAATGACAATAGACACGACACACAAACTCAAATTTGGGTTCGTTCCTGGGACTGTGGTTATTGGCTAGGTGGATTGGGAAGTGTAGTAGGTGGCTAGAAGGGTTGGAGGGCTGTTTTGGGGACGACAGTGAGTGTAAGACGGCCAAGCGAGCCTGGAGAATAGCAGATTGGTCGTTCTAGGTGACGGCGAGGGGAAAAGGAGATTGCAACAAGGGCTAACAAGATGGAGGTCTAGAACAAAGATGACAATGGGTATGGAGGGCTGGAATAGCGATAGCAACGAATGGGGAGGGCTGCAACAGCGATGGCAACAAGGACGGACGGCTGGAACAATGATGAGGGATGTGGTGGATTGCTGGACAACAAAAGGAGGGCTGTCCTAGGCGGTGGCAGCGAGGAAAATGGCTGGGCAATGAAAAAACTAAGGAAAACAAGAAACAGGGCTATTCCGGGAGGTTGCAACAGGGAAGGGGCAGTTAGGAGCGATGTGAGGAGGATGTCGAGGGGAATAGGGAAGATAATCACCACTTTGGGAGTGAGATACAACCGAAGCACCATCTAAACCTTAGGATACAACCCTCGAAGGAAAAAAAGAGATGTCGTCAGCTGTCCTGATACAAAACACACAAAAATTTTCTCTTCAAGCCCTAATACAACACACATAGAAAAGGACTAGAAAAGAAGGATAAGAGAAAACTTCTTGGAAATTAGAAAGAAAAATAAACGAAGAGCATTCCATTTAGCTTTGCGCCCATCGCGTGAACCAGATGTTGTGCACAGTCATGAGATTGTGGGAAGCTCTTCACCCTTTCTTATGCAGGAGACGCCCATGTAAGTCTCCTGGGATTGGAGGAGCTTCTACCGCACCCGTCGAAGCTTATGTCTCCTCGTAATATGACATCAGGGCAACCACGTTGAAGGTGGTGTAAATGTTATATGCTGTCGATAAGTCAATCCTATAGTCGTTGTCATTCCAACACATATCCTAAAAGAATAAGTATTTATCCTCTTTTTATATAATCTGAGCGGTATATAATAGATTCTCACAAGAAAAATCTCAAATTATTAAATCTGTAATTTGTTTATTCCACTCCTCATACTCAGTAGGTCACATTCAATAAATTCATCTGGAGGAACAAGCTCTGATTTGAAATCAGTGGCAGACTTAGCAATTCTCAATAGCAATCACTGGGGAGATGCCTCTTCTTCTCTAGAGGGAACTGGATCTCATTGTAGGTTGTTCTTTCTCGTAGCGAGCTGAATATGAATTCCAATGCTATGATTCATCCCTCCTATCTGACCATCTATCGGTAGGTACACTGCTTAACTAAATTTAATACCCAAATGACTCCATATAGTCTTCCAGAAGTAGCTTCAAAACTTCAAATCATTTATATGTTAGACCTCTCTCAGTAGGGGCAACTTTGAAGATAGATTTTATCTCTGAAAATTCAGAAAATTTTCTTATTTGAAATTGTCCTGTGTCTGGTGTCCATTCCTCGAAGTCATAATTTTCTTGAACATCTAATGTCAGTTCTAATGATGCTCCCCTCAACATTTGAAAAAAAGTAGTTCGAAGCACAACAAACTCAAAATATACATGAATATCCATTACCTCGGACTCATTATATTCTAAAATAGCCTCGATTAATCCAAATGGAGTTTCTCTCGTGGGCTTACCTTGAATCATGAATGTCTCGTGGGCTTATCTTGAATCATGAATGACTCTTCATCGTTCAACTTGAAGTTGAGTCTCCTCTTTGATGGCTTCATCTTCACTTCTATCACTGTTTATTTCTTCAACTACTCTCTGATCAGTGAGAAGATCATTATCCTAGTTGTGTAATCTGATTCAATATGCCAAAATTTGTGGTACTTGAAACACTCATGAATGTGACAGATTTGGGATTTGGATTAGTTCCACATGTCTCCATTTAGAACTAGTGTCTCCGTAAGGGGGAGGCTTGGATGTTTTGTTGTGTATACTCTTGCTGCTTAATTCTCGGGTTGAACCCTGTCCGTAAGATATGGAGGTCATCCAATGATGTTGTCTCTCCACTTTTAAAGCTAGGGTCTGAACATCCTACCTGTAAAGAACTGGGAGGTACGGGTACTGCATCTCTCATTTCATCTTAAACCAGGTAGTAATTTTACTCATCTCTTCTTACGATTGAAGAATCTTCAAGTTCTCCCACCAAAACGAAACACTCTTCCATACCATAACTTGTTAGCAGCTAATTTCACCATTCCGTCTAGCGGGGGTTGTCTTGACACTTGAGACACATTTCAATGTCCATAGCCACTCGATGAACTCGCATGAATCAATGAGACCGTTGAAATATGACAAATCCACCTTCATTTCAAAATCCCGGTTTCTCCAATATTTCATGCCAGATCTTCGAATAGTGGTTCATCTCAGAGATCGAATAGAATTTGTGTGCCATTCTAGATTGTCTCCTCTTGAAGGCGGTGAGCCTCTACTGCAGTTGGAGGATTTTCCAGTCCATACTCTCCCTAGAAATCATCTATACACGTCTTTGTGGATTTCTCATAAATGAGATAATCCTTTCTCTTCGATCAAGCATCCATTTATAATCTCCTCGGTGACATGGCTAGGGTTTGGGTGTATATAGGTGGAAGGAGGTGTATAGGGGTGATGTAGGCTTAGAAAGAAAAATTTTGGGTGGTCGGTTTGGAAAATCGGTAATCAGAGATTTTTTGTAAAGGGATGTGGATTGGGTATTAGTGGATGCTAGGCACTCTAGGGTAGGACTAGGGTTAGACTAGCACTAATACCAAATGATATTGGAGATTACCCAAACAATAAAAGGAAAAACAAATATTATTACTGAAAGCATATAGGAGATTACAACCAAATACACTGAAACGGAAAATAACAACACACCACACATAAACTCAAGTTAGGGTCCGTTCCTGGAATAGTGGTGGTCGGCTGGGTGGTTTAGTAAGGGTGGTATGTGGCTGAAATGGTTGGAGGGTGGTGGTTGCAACAAGTAGGGTCTACTAGAGGGTTGTTTTGGGGATGGTAATGGGTGTAGGGTGGCCGGAAGAGCCCAAAAAACAACAGATTGGCTGTTTCGAGTGACGGTGGCGAATGAAAAAGCGATTGCGAAAAGGGAAGCAAGATGGAGGGCTGGAACAGCAATTACAGCTGGTATGGATGGCTGGAACAGTAGAAGCAGCGAAAGGGGAGGGTTGGAATGACGATGACAGTAATGATGGAAGGGTGGAATGGCGATGGGGGATGTGGTGGACTGCCGGACAGAAAAAAGGAGAGTTATTTTGGGCGGCTGCAGCGATGAAAATAATTAGACAGCAAGGTAACTGCAGAAAAACATCAAACTAAGGCTGTTCTGAGCAGCTGCAGTAGGAAAGGGGCGGCTGAGAGTAATATGAGGATGTTGAAGAGAATAGGGAAGATAATAACCACCTCAGAAGCAAGATACAGCTGTAGCACTACCCGAACCCTTGGATACAACCTTCGAAGGAAAAAAAAAAACACACCAGCAGCTATCCCAATACAAAACACACACAAATTACCTCTCCAAATCCTAATACAACAAAAATACAAAAAAAGAATAGAAAGGAAGAATATCAAGAAACTTGGGGGAAATTAGAAACAAAAATAAATGAAGAGCGATCTGTTCGGTTCTGCGCCCCTAGCATGAACCAGATGTCGAGCGCGGTCAATGGATCGTAGGAAGTTCCGCTCCCACCAGCATGTAGGAGAAATAAATTCTTATAAAAACCTTGGATTCTAGCCTTATGCCATTATCAGACACATGTTATACCATCGTTTATTTTGAAGCTCACAATAGCCCATAAGATCCATCTATAAGAGCCACTAACTATAATAACATAATCCACATGATGAATATAATGATAGACGAAGTTGGGCCATGCTTTGAATTCACTAAAGTCCAAAGAGTCAACTCTGCGGAACCATTCTAATCAGACCAAATCTCATTAGAATGTTTTGGTCAAGGTTCTGCCGATAGAGACAAATGTGATCGTCAATGATTTGTTATCATTGCTATGTGGGAAGATGACTGGCATACACACTAAAGCTACATCAACATGAGCATTGGGATGATCAATTGCACACCCAGCAAACCTCCCATACTCATACTCTATCATCTTCTGGTCATTGGGGTTTGGGTACATATAATCACCGCAATGTGGAGGCCCATCACTCACTATCTATTTTAACAAAGGGATCACACCGTTTTTTTCTGTCCATCTTCCTCTTCCTCTCAAGATTGGTTGAAGATTATCTCAATCTTCATCATGGTGGTTGCCAAATTGACACCTATTACATCTGTTAAAACTCTAATCAATATCACACCACTTAATAACTATGAATTTACAAATCTAACACCTCAACTTCAATTTTTACAGATATACCACTTTGCCTATGCATGAAAAGGTGTATTTCAGTTTTTAAAAGTTAAAATAAGGTGACCACTTTGCCTATGCATGAAAAGGTGTATTTCAGTTTTTAAAAGTTAAAATAGTGGTATTTTTATGTGATATGAAAGACTTAGGTTGTATAAATGTGAAAAGTAGATGTTAGATGTAAATACATAATAATTGGGTGTTATGTATGTAAATTCCCTGCCTCAGCGTACAGAAAATGAGAAATAAAAGAAAAATTAAAAGGCAAAGTCGCGTAATTTTTGTGGTGAAGCATGACATGTTTGAGAAAGCATCTGAAAGCAATGTAATCCTTCATGTAATTAAAACAAAGTATCCTTAATAGCAAAGCAAGCAAAAATATGATTTATTCCAACACAAAACTACTCAGCCTGACCTTCCAGCCAAAAAAATAAAAAATAAAAAAAACTCACTTACCAGCTAACACATGAATTCGTTATTTCCAATACCAAATTAATATACAGAGAACCCGCACAGATCTTATGGAATGAATTCCAAGTAATGTAATTCACTCTAAGGGATAAACCCCGGAATTTATATTTTTATAAACTAAGCACTGTTAATTATACATATGTTTGAGCCCATCGTAACAGGTAATGATACATAAAGGCTGTACCTTTATAAAAGCTGTACTGCTGCTATGGCTGGGATCTTTTCTCTTAGCTTCTGTGTGAGTGCCACTCTAACGGTCATGACTCCAGCAGCTGGGCCAGATAGTCGAATTTTAACAATAGGTTCCTCAATGCTGACAAACTCGAGCTCTCCACCACCAGTTCCGACAAGATATGGCCTTATTTCATCAAGCACCTGAAGTTGTTAAAGGTTGCAAGAATGTCGTGTTAGAAACTGATCCTAATGCCATTATCTGTTTTCTTTCCTCAAGGACTGGACATTAACAGTTAAAAGCACAAACAAATATATAAAGGTTCATAGAAATTTTAGCTAGGGAATAACAAGTGTGATTCTGAGTTACGAAATGCACCCGTTAATAATTTCCAGTAATAACAAATTGCATTGCTAGAAGAGAAGAAACAAGTGCAGTTAACCATTGGAAAGAGTAAAATGTCATAATAGTCTCGACTCCCGACTATTTATATTGAGCCAATTTAATCCTTATAAGTGTCAAACTAGTCTATATTAAAAGATTTTAAGAACTAAATTGATACTATTAGTTGTTGGGACTAAAATGGCCCCTCGAAAGAAAACTACTCAATCTATGACAACATGAGGCATTAATTCTCATGAAGAGTATAAACACACTTTGCTTTTAGAAAATAACTACATTTTAGTTTAATAAAAGAAAAAAAATAAATCAGAAGTGTATAATAAAACAACAGGCTGGAAATAAAGGAGGTACCAAGCATAGTGATAAGAGGGAAAAAGATATCCAGCTTGGATAGCTAAGATAATGTGAGTTTAAAATATAGAGAAAGCATGTAGCGTCGATACTAGAGCGATTCAAGAATGAACACAGGAAATGATTATGTTCATCACCACCATTGAAAATATATGAACAATAATGAATTGCCAAATTGTGTTTCCATATAAAGACAGTAACATGAACGCTAAAAAAATTTACATAAAGAATAAATGAAATGAATTCTGCAGATTCTATGAATCCATGAATAAAATATGAAACTTCGCGATTTTAAAGGGTAGAGCCCATCCCAATCAAAAAAGTGCAAAGGCAAGTAATTCATAGTTATGGCTGGTGAACTTCACCTTCTCAATGTTTTCTTCATTCAACTCAAGGCCCATCACCTCATCAATAATGGGCTCAATGGCAACAATATCTGGAATTTTTTCCATGAGCCGGCGCTCAATGCCCATCTTCAATGTCATTACAGAACTTGGACATGACCCACAAGCTCCTTGCAGTTTCAGCCTCACAACATTCCCATCAATTTCATGTAAAGCAACATTCCCTCCATCTGCCATAAGATATGGTCGCACTTCATCCAATACAGACTCAACATTTTCAGCTGTGAGAGGTAATTCAACAGTTGGGTTCGGGGTGGCAATGGCTTGAGTTGCTGCGTGCAAATGTGAAAATGGAGATAGAAGATTTTAGTAATTTAAGGAAAGAATTGGGTTAAACAGACAATTGACAAATGCAAAAATGAATCATACACGATTATATTATGCCAAATCACAGTGAATTTAAAATTCAGTGTCAACTCAATCTTGCACACGAAATGTCTTCCATGATTACAGTAATAAGCCGAGAACTGAGGTTGGGCAAAAGTAGCCAATAAAGAAGTGTATTTTAGTAACTTTCTAAGCTGTTCAGCTGAAAAAACTACAAACACCTAGATTTGTGGCCAAATTTAATGTCCAAAGCAAAAGAAATAAATGTTGAGTCTCATAATATGCACTTAAAGTCCATGTTACTAGTGCAACCTGTTAGCATAATTTCCATGAAGCACAAACACAAGATGGGGACAGAACACACCTCCAATTGTTAACCGGATAGTGGTTCAGATAGGATATAACGGGGTGAGAGTCCTTAACCATTGCCATTCCTAATCTTAATTTTTCACAACTTTGTATTTACTTTAAAAAGCTTTGTAACAATTCCATTAAAATATAATAATAAATATAGGAACAGCAAAAAAAAAAAAGGAAGAGTGCATAAAATACTATATAACAAGTAAAATTTAGTGAAAAAACAAAATTAAATGAGGTGTAGAGAACAAAATTTTTTACAACAACATTTATCCCACTAAGTGGGATCAGCTATATGATTCTTTTTGCTCCATTGTGTCCTATTGGAGTGTCATATTTCCATTTAATTCTAATAAATTAAAATTATTTTTTTTAATAAACCATGCCCAAATCTTTTTTAGGTCTACCTCTATTTCTCTTAACATAATTCAAATCTAAACATCCACTCTCTTAACTAGGTCATCAATTGGTCGACGTTTAATGTGACCAAACCATCTAAGATGACTCCCTCGAATCTTGTCTGCCACTGGAGCTACACAAACCCTTTCATGGATATATTCATATCTCATTTTGTCTCTAAGTGTAAAGCAACTCATCAACCTAAGCATTCTTATCTCAGCAACACTTAATTAGTTTTATGCATCTCATTTACAGGCCAACATTCTACGTCGTAAAGCATTGCAAGTTTCACCATCATCTTATAAAATTTTCCTTTAATTCTAAGTACTTTCCTATCATACTATAAAACTAGTGCATTCCTCCATTTCAATCATCCAACTTGAATTCTACTAATAACGTCCTCATCTATATAACCATCACTTTGAACAATAGACCCGACAATAGACCCGAGACCCGAGATATTTAAAATGTTCACTCCTTTTAATGATTTGATCAGCAGTTATTGCAACCCAGCTGCTAGATCTACTACTACTGAAATTACATTACATGTATTCAGTTTTAGATCTATTCAAACAAAAGCCTTTAGAGTCTAAAGTTGATTTCCATAATTCATGTTTTTTCTGATATCTTTCTCTAGTCTTATCCACAAGAAAAATATCATCCGTGAAAATCATAACCCCTCCTATTCGAACAAAAGTAACAAAACTAGTACACATCTTTATTGACTTGAATATAAGTCATATTAGCACATTTCTTTTCTAGAACTCTCAAAAACACTTCTCTAGGAATCTTATCATAAGTTTTTTTCCCCAAATTAAACAAAAATCATATATAAATCCTCTTTACTCTCTTTGTACTTCTCCATCAAAACTCTGAATAAATGTATCGCTTCCATTGTAGACTTGTCTGACATAAATTCAAACTGATTTTGATAAATCTTTGTATGTCTTAACATATATTCAATTACTCTCTCCCATAATTTTATTGTATGACAAATTAACTTAATTATTCTATAAATTGCATACATCTCCTTTATTCATAAAAATAGGGACCAAAATACTCATCCTACACTCCTTAGGCATCTTCTTAATTTTAAAATAATATTAAAAAGTTTAGTAAGCCAAGAAATTCTCAAATCTCCTAAACATTTCGACATTTCTATTGTCATCAGATCCTACTGATTTTCCACACTTCATTTTCTTTAAACTTCCTCAACCTCAGTTTTACTAATGCGATAATAAAAATAAAAAGGTTTTATTATTATTAATAATATTAACATCACTACAGTTGATCGAATTTTCAAAATCTTCGTTGAAAAGTTTATCAAAATCTCTCACCCACCTATATTAAATATCTTCGTCTAAGAAAAATAATTTTATTTTTTTATCTTTAATACACTTTAACTAAATTTTTACTTTTTTATCTCTCTATTTGGCTAGTTTATACATATATCATTCACCCTCTTTAGTATCTAATTTATTATAAAGATCACTAAAACAAAAATTCTTAGCATCACGAATTGTTCTTTTAGTACCTAAGAAAACAAAATTTTGCAGCATTCATGGTAGTGTTAACTGATTTCCCTTAAAAAAATACTAGGAATTAATCAATATCCAACCTCCATTGAGAAAGGTTTTTAATGTCAGACTTTTGGTCCCATTATAGAAGTTTCAATTTCAATAGTTTCACTAGTTTTGAAGGAATTGGTATATACTTTTAGCATTTTGTTTATCAATAGGGAAAAAGAAATCTTGATAAAAAAAATATTTTTTTTAACTTTTAAAATCATAAAAAAATATGTTTATGCAAATTTTGATGATTTCAACCAAAATTTGGTGGTTTCAATTGCTTTGGCCAAAATCACCAAAATTTGTCAAAATTGATCGTGGCCAAAGGTTTCAACGAGTTTTCGGTAGGCATCCAACAAAATCAATCCAAAACAAAATGCAAGTAATCAAGGGACTATTTGAGGCATAACCATGTGAGTATCCAAATACAATTATGGACATCTCCAGAAGGCCAAATGCTTCGAAGGTGCATGTTTATGCGCACATTAATACATACATGGAACCACTTTATAAAGAGATTATGTTCAGTAAAATAATAAATACTAGAAAAAAAAATACCATAATATGAATTAATTCTATTCCATAAGATGAAAGAAAAATGAGTTTGAACGTTTAGCATTGAAGAAACAAAAGCATAAAATAAATTTTCAATGTGTGGACTTTAGTCTTGAAGGTACAAAAGCCATTAATATGAGTATGTGAAAAATGAGAACTTTAAGATGCATATGTTCCAAAACAAAAAATGATTATGTTAGAAAGATAATGAGACGAGCATCTATTGAAGATAAAATAGTTAAAATAAGTTTACATTGTCTCAGCAGATACAAAGGAGAGCAAAACATACACCAACAATAAAGTACATCCAATTAATGTTCGAGTTGATAAAAGAAACAAAATATATGGAGTGTAGCTAATACGTACAGAAGAGTTACAAAAATAAATAAATAAACAGATAAAAATATGATAAAGAAATTATAACACCTCTAGCAACACATAACAAGAATGAATGGAGAACGAGAACTCATGAGCCAGAACCATATAGTTGGCATAAGTCTAATGATCATGATAAATTCAACCGATTTCAACATAAAATTTAATGAGTCCTTATAGCATCATATTTTCTTCAGTTTCGTATCAGAAACTGAAGAATTAATATCGTGGAGTCAAAAACATATTTCATTCAGTCATAAACAAATTAATATCGATACTGATAGAATAGTGCTAGTATTACAAGGAGATAAACAACGTGTAGAGGTGCATTAGTAGAAGCTGAAAGTCCCTAGCATTTTCATCTTTAATTGATTGTTGTGAGTCGAGTAATCTGCCCATACAACATTTAATGAAAAGAATCTCTGGTTCCAGTGTCAAAGCAAATGAATCCGAGCATGAAAAGAGAAAAAAAAAAGTCCAAGCCCTTCTTTAAATGTATTGGCAATTCTCGTTTTATTAAGAAGACTAAGCTAAAATTTTCTGCAATATATAACTTTTATAAGATATACTATTCTTCATAGTAAATAACCTAACCCACCATCTACACCTCAGACCCACTTACTGTCTATCGTTTCTCCTTTAACCTTCGTTCACAAGCAACATTTACTACTCTTAACAGCATTTGATAAAAAAAGTCAAAAGAGAGAAAGGTAGCGTTCCTCTCCTCACATAACTCATCTCCCAGAGTTACTACAGAAAATAAATACTTTTATCTTTTTGCTTTTTTGTATAATATATAGCATAAACAAATTCTTTCATTTTACATTAGAATAAAACAACCAAGCCTCAGCTATTATGTTCTTTGGCTTAGAGCCTACAACAAATAAGCTATAAAAAGTATAGATGGAGAAAAACAGGCAAAAAAATAAATGAATTAGTGCAAATTTAGTTCAAAATGATGCTCATAAATGTATAGCATGCTAAACAAATTTGCCCAACATGCCAAATTAGTTAAAATCCATTTATGTAATAATGCCATCCCGAATTTAATAAGTTTTTTGTGCCCTTACAAAATACTAAAATGACCCACCTATAGTCTTGAAAGAAACTGCACGAGATGGACACTGTTGTGTAGCTCTTAAGTACACACATCAGCTGCTTAATGAGCATATAGATTACCAAAATATGTTATGAAGGAATAAGAAATATAAACATTGCATAATAAATATAAGAAAATCAACATAGATGATATATCTTAAATATTCATTTCCAATGCTTTTATTACTATGCTACCATTATTAGTGGCCATGGAAGAGATATGTAACCAACCAAAAACATAATTTGAAGTGTCCCCATTCCACCCCTATCCATAGGTTTTGAAAGAATACAAAGTATTAAATGATTACCATCACTGCCATTGTTAATGACCAAGAAAGTTAAAAGTCATCTCCAACTAAAAACGGCGGTCGAAGTGTTCCCTTTCAAAACTTTTTGCAAGCCTATGGGGTGATTAGATAATACGGTTGTTATTATTTTGATTTTGAGTTGATCCAGCCTGATTCAAGATCAACTCAACGCCATTAGCTCTGATCTTGAATCAAGCAAAGATTGATCATAGGTTGGCTCAAGTTGATGTTGGTTTAAGCAATTCATGGATGCTTAGCTTTGATTTGAAGTTGATTTGAGCCCAA